AGTCTCACTCTGTCCCCCAGGCTGGAGTCTGGTGGGGGCAATCATGGCTCACTGCAGTCTTGACCTACTGGACTCAAGTGATTCTCCTGCCTCAGCCTTGCAAGTAGCTGGGACTACAGGTGTATTCCACTATACCTGGCTAATTTTTTAAAATTTTATTTGCAGAGATGGGGTCTGCTGAAGTTGCCTAGGCTAGTTGCGAACTCCTGGGCTCAAGCAATCCTCTTCCTCAGCCTCTCAAAGTGCTGCGATTACAGGCATGGTCTACCATGCCCAGCCTAAGCACTATATATATATACACACACACATATATGTGTATGGGTACATATATATATGTATATATGTGCACACTCATCTAATCTTCAGAACAATCCTATGAAGTACATACTGTATGTTCTTCATTGTAACAGCTCAGGAAATGGATGTGCAGAGGTTAAGTAACTGGCTCAAGTTCATGTGGCTAGTAAATAGCAAATCTAGAATCTGATCTAGGCAGTGTGGCTTAAAAATATGCATTCTTAGCTGGGCACAGTGGCTCACGCCTGTAATCCCAGCATTTTGGGAGGCCAAGAGGCAGGTGCATCACTTGAGGTCAGGAGTTCGAGACCAGCCTGGTCAATATGGTGAAACCTGGTCTCTACTAAAAATACAAAAATTAGTTAGGTGTGGTGGCGTGCACCTGTAATCCCAGCTACTCAGGAGGCTGAGGCAGGATAATTGCTTGAACCCGGGAGGTGGAGGTTGCAGTGAGCCGAGCAAGATCGTGCCACTGCACTCCAGCCTAGACGATAGAGCAAGACTCAGTCTCAAAAAGAAAAAAAAAAACAAAAACAAAGCCTTCTCCGTACTAGTCCTAGGCTACAGACATGTCCTTGAAAGTATTTCTGCTTACTTTTGTTGTTGTTGTTGCCTCCTGCGATTAGAAAATATTATGTTTAGATATGCTTGTTTTTATTTTAAAATATACAAGAAGAAGTAATGTTGTATTAGTCAGTAAGCCTCGGTCATAGAAATGTTTTCTTTGTAAAGGGTTGCCCATTTTTGTTTTTCTAAGATGAAGCAATTTTGCTCATAGCATTGAGCCACCCATTCCTCCAAGTGGGCTAATGAGAGGTTGGCTGTTAATTTTGATATGACGACCTTGAGGAGACAGAACCATAAGCACTGGTCCTGGGGTGAAGGGTGGTGGGGTATGGAGGGAGGAGAAGGACAGATGGTGGGAAGCAGAAGAACCAGGTCCAGACAGGCTCCAGCCTAGTCATGAGATGGGGCTGCCACGGTTGATAAATCCTTGAGATTTGGTTGATGATCTGAGGCCCAGCTCAACTCTTGGCTTCCCCTGGAGCATTGCTGGGGAACCAGCACAGTGACATCAACGTCACTAATAGCCCATCTGCCATCAGTCACATCCATCTTCAGGGAAAGAATGCCTAGATCGTGAGAGCATCCTGCCCTGGGACCAAGGATTTGAGAATAAGAGCACGAGTCGGGGTGCTACTTCCTTCCTTGTTTATATCACCTATTTCCTTCTTAGATGCCTGGTACAAGGAATAATTAGATAGGAACACATGGGTAGCTTAGATAGGGAAGAGGAAGATTCCCTTGGGAGTCTACAGACGCCATACTGCAGCACTTTGGTATTAGCAGTAGGATTGTAGTGTCCTCTAGTGGACACTTTGTGAATTTACATAGTATTATTTACTGGATGTGGCCGATAAAGGTGGGCTGAATCCAAAAAAGGGAAGATTGACATCCAGAGTGTTTGGAAAGTGGGACCATAAGAGAACAGTGTGTGTGTGTGTGTGTGTGTGTGTGTGTGTGTGCATACATGTGTGTTGGAGGCTGTGTGGCTTCTCCTAACTTTACCATGCGGAAGTCAAGGAAACGGTTACAGAGGCAAATTGTGGGAGTAGCTAATGGCAATGGCCCAGAGAGATGAAAAAATGTGGGAAAACCAAAACTTGGAGGTAGGAACTTTCCGCTTCTTTTGGAGTAGACAAAGGTGACTTAAGTAGGAAAAGAATGCATAGCCAGTAACTGTCCCAACAGAATTGGACTGGTGCCTGGGGTGATTCAGGATGTCCAGTTAAGCTGAGAAATACTGATTCCACAGATCCCCTTCATTCACTCAGAGCAGACAGAGGACCATGAGACTTCCTACCCACAGTGAGCTAAAAGGACGCTTTTGTCAGAGTGGGGAAATGAAAGGGCTTTATGGGAAAGAAGATAAGAACAGATGAGTCAGAGGTTTCTGCTTAATGGTGAGTATTTTTGTCTTAAAATGTGTGTTTTTCTTCTTTGGAGAAGGTGCTGCACTCTTTTTGTGTTTTGAGCTGGAGGCTTTCTTTGATATGATTGGATTTGAAGCTGGTTGGTTACAAATGAATATTTGGGGCTTTAGGAAATATTCTTTATGTTTGGATGGCTTCTCCTAAGTACATAAATACATTGTTTTATTATTAACCTAAGTTTCTCTTGGTGAAATTTTCTGTGTATTTGGCCACAGTATAATTTGTTTAATTTTTGAACACAGTAACATTTACTTACAAGTTAGAGGTGTTGCAAAGTTGATTTATTCTGATAATGACTCATTTTCTTTGTTTTTGTGTGTGCACGCAGTGCATTGGGTTTAATAAGCTTTTTATTGAAATAAATCATTCACACAGAAAAATTCATTAATCATAAGCATATAGCTTAATGTGTCATCACAACTTGAACACATCTATGTAAACATAACTGTCTCAGTCTGCTGGGGCTGCTATAGCAAAATGGGACAGACTGGGTGGCTTCAACAACAGACATTTATTTCTCACAATTCTGGAGGCTGGAAAGTCCAAGATCAAGGTGCTGGCGGAGTTGGGTTCTAGTGAGGGCTCTCTTCCTGGCTTGTAGATGACTGCCTTCTCACTGTGTCTTCACAGTGTAGAGAGAGCATGAGCAAGCTCTGGTCTCTTCTTCTTCTTCTTCTTTTTTTTTTTTTTTTGACAGATTCTAGCTCTGTTGCCCAGGCTGGAGTTCAGTGGCATGATCTCGGCTCAGTGCAAGCTCCACCTCCCAGGTTCACGCCATTCTCCTGCCTCAGCCTCCCGAGTAGCTGGGACTACAGGTGCCCGCCACCACACCCGGCTCATTTTTTTTTTTTTTTTTTTTTTTTGTATTTTTAGTAGAGACAGGGTTTCACCATGTTAGCCAGGATGGTGATCTCCTGACCTCGTGATCTGCCCGTGCTGGCCTCCCAAAGTGCTAGGATTACAGGCATGAGCCACCGAACCAGGCCCTGGTCTAGAGGACACTAATCCCATTATGAGGACCTTAACCTCATGACTGCATCTAAACCTAATTTCTTCCCAATGACCCCATCTCCTAATCCCATCACATTTGGGATTAGGGACTCAATGCATGAGTTTGGGGGGCATTGTTCAGAGTTTAGTTCATAATAATAACCATCCAGCAGAGATGCCTCTCTTGTGCTATCTCCCAATCCCAGTCCTCTGCCCCCACCAAGGTGACCACTAGCTTAACTTCTAACCACATAGAGGAGTTTTGCCTGTTTTTGAACTTCATATAATTAGAATTACACAGTATATATTCTTTTCTTTTTGAGACAAGGTCTCACTCTGCCACCCAGGCTGGAGTGCAGTAGCACGGTCTCAGCTCACTGCAACCTCTGCTTCCCAGGGTCAGGCAATCCTCTGACCTCAGCCTCCTGAATAGCTGGGACTACAGGCATGTGCCACCATGCCTGGCTAATTTTTGTATTGTTTGTAGGGATGGGGTTTCACCATGTTGTCCAGGATGGTCTTTAACTCCTGGACTCAAGCAATCCACCTGCCTTGGCCTCCTAAAGTGTTGGAATTACAAGTGTGAACCACCACACTCAGCCTATATATTGTTTTCAATCTATAAGGTTTATCTGTGTTGTTATGTGTAGTAGCAGCTTGTTCATTTCCATTGTGGTATACTATTCCATAGCATGAATATATAATAATTTATCCATTCTAGCTTTTCAGTTTCAAATAATGTGTATCTTTTGGAGTAGACTAAGGTGACTTAAGTAGGAAAAGAACGCATAGCCAGTAACTCTCCCAACAGAATTGGATTCGTGCCTGGGGTGATTCAGGATGTCCAGTTAAGCCGAGAAATACTGTACATCTTGGAGTACAGTTACTGTCTCCTGGCATGTGCACATCTTATCTACACCTTTAGTAGATAGCATCACATGGTTTTATAAAGTGGTTGTGTCAATTTATGCTGCCACCAGCAATGTGTGAGTTCAGCAATGATAAAAGTTATTTACACCACAGAAATTGGCAACTTTTACAAATCAGAGTTTCTTTCTTAGCCAGTTGTAAAATAATTACCAGCACACCACTGCCAATGAGGCAGGAGGCAGGACTTGGACTCTGGACCAGATTGAGACTAGCTGAAAGGCAAAAACACTAGCAAGAGGCAAAAGCACCTCTCCATAAGACATGCCGACCAGTGCCATGTCAGTTTACCATTGCCTTGGCAACAACTGGACACCACCCCTTTCTATGGCAATGACCCGACAACCCAGAAGTTACCACCCTTGTTCTAGACATTTCTGCATAATCCACCCCTAATTTGAATGTAATTAAAAGTGGCCGTAAATATGACTGCCAAGCTGCCCTGAGCTGCTACTGTCTACACACTGCCTATGGGGTAGGCCTATTCTACAGAAGCAGTCACAGAGCCCTAACACTACACTGCCTCCTCAATAAAGCTGTTTTCTTGGCCGGCTGCAGTGGCTCACACCTATAATCCCACCACTTTGGGAAGCCAAGGTGGACAAATCACTTGAGGTCAGGAGTTTGAAACCAGCCTGGCCAACATGGTGAAACTATTTACTAAAAATACAAAAATTAGCCGGGCGTGGTGGCATGTGTCTGTAATCCCAGCTACTCAGCAGGCTGAGGCATGAGAATTGCTTGAACCCAGGAGGCGGAGCTTGCAGTAAGCCAAGATCGCACCACTGCACTCCAGCCTGGGCGACAGAGCAAGACTCCGTCTTAAAAAAAAAAAAAAAGGCTGTTTTCTTCTACCGTCGGCTCACTCTTCAGTTCTTTCCCGAGCAAAACCAAGAATCTTCTTGGGCAAAGCCCTAAGGTTCACCTGCCTTGCAGCAACATGGCACCAAACATGGGGCGGAAGAGAGAAGACGACAGCATGAGAGACAGAGAAAAAAATGGCAGTTGGCAAGGTGGTAATGAGAGATGGCAGTTGGCAAGACAGTGAGAGACAGTGAGAGATGGCAAGCGACAGTGATTGGCAAGATGACAAGTGGAGAGATGGCAAGAAATAGAGAAGCAGTCAGTGATGGAGGCTGCAAGAGTTGTAACACTAACCAAAGGCTCCTTTTAGAGCCATCATTTTCCCTGGCAGGTGGTAGAGCCAAGCAGACAGGCTAGTGGCCATATTGCTGCTGCCTCATGTGGGAACCAGCAGGCTGGAGGGTTATCAGTCCTCACGTGGGACCCTCCCACCATGGCAGCTGAGCCCACCTAAGCTGGGGGATCCTGAAGAGACCTTCACCTGGGTGCCACGTGGAAGATTGGTCCCCACCGTTTTGGCTGCTGTGGATGGGTGAGTGTCTTGCCTGCCCCCACCCCATAACATCAGGTAAGCTAAGGAATTGAAAAGCCTTTGGCTAAGAGGTCAGTTAAAAGTCTCTCATCATTTGGATACCCTGAAGCACTTCCTTGTCCTTGTCACCCTTTTCCCTGATTGTTTCCCTTCTGACTCCATTTTATTGCTCCACCAGTTGCTTTATTTTGAGTCCTAAGATGTATGTTTTGTTGGCAGTCTTAGTTTTCACTTTGATTTTCTGTTGACTATATTTGGGGAATGATTGAAGGCAGGACACTTGGCTGTGCAAGGCCTCCTGTTGTGTTGTTCTGTGACCTCCAGCTTGGCCTGAGGTTTGCTGTTGGCCACCCCCCGGTGCCCTGGGCTCTTCAGCATTTGGTGAGGGGACCCTCGTTGGTTGACACTCAGGCACTCCAGGTTTTTCAGCATTGATATTGCTGAAAATGCTCTGGGGTTTTCGGTGTTGACATTCCCTCTTTCATTGAGTGGATGAGGCTTTCCCCACAGGAACAGAAAAAAGCATTAGAAGGGTCCAGATTCTTACTTAAAGACATCATTGCAAGATTTGGGTTACCTAGAAGTCTGCTCAGTGATAACAGACCCTCCTTCACAGCTAAAGTGACCCAGCAGGTTTCCTAAGCCTTAGGCATTACCTGTCATCTTTACTCTTGGAGACCTCAATCCTCAGGTAAGGTAGAAAAAGCTAATTCTCCCCTGGGGAAATCTTGGTCTCGCCTTTTTCTGCTCTGAAGTTAGAAGTTATTATTTTCCTAATAGCCAGTTGCAGACCTCTTCCTGTGTGCTGTCTTGTAACTGCGTAACTGCCTTGCTGAAGCCCTCTTGGTTGAAGGGGACTGAGCGTTCCCAGGCCCCTGACCTGGTGGACAGCCACCAACAGCAGTAGAAAGGTGGCCACCTCAACACTGTTTTTGGTCTCTGCTACTAGGTAGGTTCTCTGGCAGTCAGGGCCCCTGAGGTCTCCCCTTGGGCAATGCTACTTACCCCCGCCCTTCCTCCCTTCCACTGTCACCATTTGTTTAGCCTCTTTCTGCCTAAACTCTCTGTGGAATTTAGGCCAACATTCTACTGCCCATTTGTAGCTTATAATCCACTTTTGTTACACCTTGCTGTCTATATTTACACCTTCTTTGTAGAAAGTGGGAATTTAAAAGGGAAAAGTAACTAGGCATTTGCTAAGCTTAGGTCACTAAAACCCCCGTAGAGAGCCTTACTAGACATGGGGCAGCAGCGAGCATCCTGAAGGACTTGACGTGAGGGTGTCTTTTAGGCAATTGGAGTAAATTCAAATTAGACAAATTGAAAAAGAAAAAATTTATTTTCTGTTGCAACTATGTGTGGGTTCAATACAAATTGGCAAACCAACAGATGTGGCCTAGGCAGGATTCTTTTTTTTTTTTTTTTTTTTTTTAGATAGAGTCTCACTCTCTTGCCCAGGCTGGAGTGCAGTGGCAAGATCTCGACTTGCCACAACCTCTGCCTCCTGGTTCAAGCAATTCTCCTGCCTCAGCTTCCCAAGTAGCTGGGATTACAGGTGTAGGCTACCATGACCGACTAATTTTTTTGTATTTTTAGTAGAGATGGAGTTTCACCATGTTAGCCAGGCTGGTCTCGAACTCCTGACCTCAGGTGATTTGGCCGCCTTGGCCTCCCAAAGTGCTGGGATTACAGGCGTGAGCCACTGCACCTGGCCTCACGATTCTTTATGTTCTAATGATATTGTACAATTAGAATTTGTTTTGTAAAAAGGAAGGAAAACGGGAAGAATTCCTTACGTGCAGGTGTTTCTGGCCATCTACCAGGATCCTAACTTAAGGGCTAGCTGTAGAATGTGTCTGGCTCATGGTACTCCCAGCCACCCAGAAGCACACGGTATTGTAGATGACCCTGTCTTAGCTGTTCCCCTATGAGGCCTGTGTCCCCACTTGAAGCCTCTCCAGTCCCCTAGTTCTGAGTGGGGGGCCACCACTTCTCTAGTGCAGAATTCCACCTCAAAGTCAGCAGGCATCCCTGCCCTTTATCCAGGGGGCTCTGGCCCATGTCCCCCGCTGCCAGAGGAAGTAAACCCAACCGGTACTACCAGGAGTTGGGCCCCATATCGGCCGCCAAAATTGGACCTGTGTCCATTGTGAGAAGTATGTCCATTGTGACAGGCATGGAGGAGCAACCACAAGATACGTGCCTTTTTCCATGTTTGATTTGGCTTTATGCAAGGAAAAATTTGGTTGTGTTTTAGAGGATCCAGGGAAGTTTGTAGAGGAGTTTATTAAGTTGACCGTATTCTTTGATTTAACTTGTTATGACATGAAGATATTACTATGTACTTGTTGTACTGTAGAGGAAAAACAAAGAATTCTAGCTACTGCCCGTGAACATGCAGATGGAGTAGCCACTCATGACGCAGGCCATGCCATATCATGTGGGAGGAGATGCAGTTCCAGATCTAGGCTCTCAATTGGATTACTAGACAGGTTTCAAGATCTTAAATGCAGAAATCATAGGCTAATTTGTTTAACATGAAAAAGTGTGTGCTTAAGCCAGTCAATTATGACAAGGTGAGAGAAATAACTCAGGACAAAAATGAAAATCCTGCTCTATTTCAGGACAGTTTGCTTGGGGCACTCAGGAAATATGCTAATGCAGACCCAGACTCCCCAGAAAGGTGAGTTCTCCTGTGTGTGCATTTTATCACTCAATCTGCACGACATCAGGAGGAAGCTACAAAAGATAGCAATGGGGCCTCAAACCCCCGTGAGCCAACCCTTAAACATTGCTTTTAGGGTTTACAACAATAGGGACAAGGCAGGCGAAGAGGCAAAAGCCAAAAAGTTGGCCAAAAAAGTACAATTGTTAGTGGCTGCTTTAGACCCTCAGCTGTTTCAAGGTTACCCACCCTAGGAAAATGTGGGAAGATCAGTGTCTGGGATGCTCAGATGAGAGTCCCACTGCTTTCTGGACTCTAGGCCAAAATCAAATCAGTGTGCCTGTTTTTTTTTGTTTTTTTTTTTTTGAGATGGAGTCCTGTCCTGTCGCCCAGGCTGGAGTGCAGTGGCGTGATCTCAGCTCACTGCAAGCTCCACCTCCGGGGTTCATGCCATTGTCCTGCCTCAGCCTCCCAAGTAGCTGGGACTACAGGCACCCGCCACCACGCCTGGCTAATTTTTTTGTATTTTTAGTAGAGACGGGGTTTCACCGTGTTAGACAGGATGGTCTCGGTCTCCGGACCTCATGATCCACCCGCCTCGGCCTCCCAGAGTGTTGGGATTACAGGCGTGAGCCACTGTGCCCGGCTTTTTTTTTGAGATGGAGTCTCGCTCTGTCACCCAGGCTGGAATACAGTGGCCCAGTCTCGGCTCACTGCAACCTCTGCCTCCTGGGTTCAAGCGATTCTCCTCCCTCAGCCTCCCTATTAGCTGGGACTACAGGCGCCCGCCACCACTCCAGGCTAATTTTTTGTATTTTTAGTAGAGACTGGGATTTCATCATGTTAGCCAGGATGATCTTGATCTCCTGACCTCATGATCCACCCACCTCAGGCTCCCAAAGTGCTGGAATTACAGGCTTGAGCCACTGTGCCCAGCCCAGTGTGCCTTTTGTAAACAAGAAGGCTACTTGAAGAAGGACTGTCACAGGCTTAAAGGGGAGTCTGAGACACCCAGATCCATAGTGACCAAGACAGCAGAGGACTGATGGGGCCTGCGGTCCTCTACGACTCCTACTGGACACCTTAACATCTCCATAGAGGAGTCTTGGGTAAACCTGGACACAGCAGGCAAAAATATTGGGTTCTTAATGGACATGCGAGCAGCCTACTCAGTTGTAACCCATTTCTCAGGGCCACTGTCTTCCTGCTCTTGTACAGTAATGGGGATTTATGGCCAGCCCAAAATTAGGAGATTTACCCACTCCCTTGGTTGCACCCTGGAGGACCATACATTTTCCCACAGTTTTACTTATGCCTGAGTGTCCTGTGCCTCTACTGGGGAGAGAATTACTTTCCCAATTATAGGCCACAGTTCAACTTCTAGTGCCTCATAAGAAGGCAACAGGCTGGGAACGGACACTTCTAGCTCTAAGTGCTTACCTCAACACGGATAAGGAGATGCTCTTCCCACCACATATTGCTTCTCAAGTAGACCCCTCTGTTTGGGTCATGGAAGTTCCTGCTAGAGCTGTTGATGTACTCCCAATTCCAGGTTATTTTAAAACCCAGTGTTAATTACATGTGGAAGAAACAATATCCTTTGAGACCCAAGTCTCAGAATAACATCCAGCCCCTACTAACAAAGTTCCTAAAGTTTGGATTCCTACAATCCTGTGCCAGTCCCCATGTAATACCCTCATTTTACCTGTAAAGAAACCAAATGGGGAATATAAATTTGTTCAGGACCAGAGAGCAGTTAATGAGACAGCAGTCCCAGTCCACCCAATAGTTCCCAATCCTTGTGCAATATTTACCCATGTCTCTGAAGATGCTCACTGGTTCATGGTAAGGATGCTTTCTTTTGTATAACTTTATACCCAGACTCCCAGTACATTTTTACTTTTAAATGGACTGATCCAGACACTGATGCCACATCTCAGCTTAGCTGGACAGTCCTTCCCTCAAGGTTTTAGGGACCACCTCCATCTCTTCTGCAATGCATTGGCCAAAGAGTTAAGGGAACTACAGTTAACTAATGGATCCCTCTTGCAATATGTAGATGATCTATTATTCTCCAGCCTCACTAGGGAAGACTGACAGGAACACAATTCAGCTCCTTAATTTTCTGGGAAAGTGAGGATAGTGAGTTTCCCCCAACAAGGCCCAGATCTCTATGCAAAAGGCTAAATATTGGGGGTATGTGCTCACTCCGGAGACAAGTACTTTTGTTCAGAAGCAAAAAGAGACCGTCCTGGCACTCCAGCCCCTTCAGACTAAGAAGCAAGTAATAGTCTTTTTGGGAATCCTGATCTGGATTCCCGGGTTTGAGCTTAGAGCAAAGGCATTCTGTGAAGCTCTAAGGGGGAGTGATAATGAGCCTTTGAATTGGGATGGAACCTGCTAACAGGCATTCTTAACACTAAAAGAAAAGCTGGGAACAGCTCCTGCTTTGGGACACCCTAACTTAGAAAAACCTTTCACTTTATGGCTTTATGTGGCTGAAAAACAAGGGACAGCTTTGGGCATCCTAACTCAAAGGCTCGGGAATAGTCCCAGACCAGTGGCTTATTTTTCTAACAGCTAGACCAGGTGGCAGCTGCATGGCCAGGATGCTTGCAAGCTGTGGCCACCATTGCTCTATTGGTAGAAGAGGCCAGTTTTAAGTTCACCTTGGGACAACAATTAGATGTCATGACCCACCACCAAGTATAGGGAACCTAAGAGACAAAAGGACACCAATGGCTAACAGGAGGTCACTTACTTAAATATCAAGCCCTTCTGCTTGACACCCAGCTGTTACTTTTAAAGTAGGCAAAGTTTTAAACCCTGCGACTCTGTTGATGGGCTTCATGTCCCAACAAACAGATCCCCAACTCATTCACTCCTGGGTGGAAACCGTAGAACAGACCTACTCTAGCAGGCCTGATCTCAAAGACGAGCCCCTGCCTAACCCCAGTGTTGGGTGGTTTATAAATGGGAGTGGCTTTATGCATGAGGGGTGAGGAAGACAGGTTATGAAGTGGTTAGCCAACAAAAGATCATTGAGACAAAAGCTTTGCCTCCCTAGACTTCCATTCAAAAAGTGGAATTAATTGCTTTAATCAGAGCCCTGCAATTGGGAAAAGACTTAACGGTCAATATACTCACTGATTCCAAATATGGGTTCCTGGTGCTCCATGCTCATACTGCCATATGAAAAGAAAGGAGAACATTAGCAGCTAAGGGATCCCCCATACAACATCACTCAGAGATCCTGGAACTTTTAGATGCTGTCCTTTTCCTTTGGGAAAAGGAGGTAGCAGTTAGTCACTGCCAGGGATACCAAAAGGGAGACACCTCGCTTATTTGAGGAAATGCTCCGGCAGACAGAGCAGCTAAAGCCACAGCTAAGGAGACACCAGTATTCCCATGCACTGCATTAATGCCAGGTACTCCGCCCATGTCAGCAGCACCACACTATACCCCTGAGGAAATTAAATGGACATAATAGAAAAGCTTACAGAAGGATCCCTCAGGATGATTGCTAGAAAACAACAAACTCTTTCTCCCTGAGGCTGAGCAATGGAAAATAATTAAGTATTCCCATGACTCCTCACATTTGGGACAGGGCTCCCTATTCAAATTAGTTTCTTAAATCTTCTTGGGAAAGAAATTATTCCAGGCTGTGAAGTGGGTCACCAGGGCCTGTGAACTTTATGCCGGTAATGACCCAGGAAGCTGCCCATACCCTTATCCCTACTCACTCCTGTACAACATCAAGGAACATACCATGGGGAAGATTGGCAAATAGATTTTACTCAGATGCCACCATACAGGAGACTGAAATATTTGCTAGTGTTTACAGACACTTTCACCGAGTGGAAAGAGGCTTTCCCCATAAGAACAGAAAAGGCATTAGAAGTGTCAGTTCCTACTTAAAGAGATCATCCCAAGGTTTTGATTACCTAAAAGTCTGCAGAGTGATAATGGACCCAGCAGGTGTCCTGAGCCTTAGGCATTACCTATCATCTTCACTCCTCCTGGAGACCCCATTCTTGGGGAAGGTAGAAAAAAACTAATCGTATTTTTAAAAGGACATTAGCAGAGCTCTGTTAGGAGACCTCAGAGGCCTAGGTTTCTCTCCTACCCATCACCTTTTTTTTTCTTTCTTTTTTTTCTTTTTTTTTTTTTTGAGACAGAGTCTTGCTCTGTTGCCGAGGCTGGAGTGCAGTGGTGTGATCTCAGCTCACTGCAACCTCCGCCTCCCAGGTTCAAGGGATTCTTCTGCCTCAGGCTCCTGAGTAGTTGGCACTACAGGCAGGCACCACCATGCCCAGATAATTTTTGTATTTTTAGTAGAGACGGGGTTTCACCATGTTGGTCAGGCTGGTCTCGAACTCCTGACCTCGTGATCCACCCACCTCAGCCTCCCAAAGTGCTGGGATTACAGGCGTGAGCCACCACACCCTGCCTCCCGTCACCCTTTTATATGTAAGGATGACTCCAAAGGGAACACTAAAACAGTCCATTTGAAATGACTTATGGGAGGCCCTTTTTTTTTTTTTTTGAGACAGAGTCTTGCTCTGTCGCAGACTGAGTGGCGCTGTCTCGGCTCACTGCAAGCTCTGGGGAGGCCCTTTTTAACTTCAGACCTCCTGTTTGATGAAGAGACACATAGAATGCTCACCCATATTATCAACTTAGGCTGGGTTCAAAAGGCCCTCCAAGTCCTATGGAGACAAAATATTGCTCCCTTCAACAAAGGAAATAGTTAACCCCCACAATCAACCAGGAGACTTAGTCTTAGTAAAAACTTGGAAAGAAGAATCCTCCAACGATCAATTACACATTGATCAGGGCTGTATCAGGTGCTGTTGAGTATACCTGCTGCTATTAAACTTCAGAATATAACTAGTTTGATACACCTGTCCAGGTTAAACCTGTTTCTTATGAGTTGCAGCACAAAAGGAAGCCCCCATGACCCACATCTGTGAGCCTTTGGAGGACCTCTGCTGCCTGTTTAAAAGAATCCACCCTCAGCCAGAGGTGGTAACGTGATGCTGTGGGTGGGAACAGGAGTAATAATTTTTATCTTCTTCCTGATCGTAATCCTTCTTTTCTGTTGCTTTAGCCAACCTCCCGGGAAACACCTCATTTGTCCTTGTTGGGTGTAGAGGCCACTCTAAGACCCAACTGGACACCATGTTGTCACTATTAATCCTGTTTGATTTCCTAATTACCCTGATCCGGTGCAGGTGGGAACATAATCCTATAGTAAATATTTCAAAAATTATAGCCTCAGCCGGGCGCGGTGGCTCAAGCCTGTAATCCCAGCACTTTGGGAGGCCGAGACGGGCGGATCACAAGGTCAGGAGATCGAGACCATCCTGGCTAACATGGTGAAACCCCGTCTCTACTAAAAATACAAAAAAACTAGCCGGGCGAGGTGGCGGGCGCCTGTAGTCCCAGCTACTCGGGAGGCTGAGGCAGGAGAATGGCGTGAACCCGGGAGGCGGAGCTTGCAGTGAGCTGAGATCCGGCCACTGCACTCCAGCCTGGGCGACAGAGTGAGACTCCGTCTCAAAAAAAAAAAAAAAAAAAATTATAGCCTCAGGGAATCATCTTCATGGTTGCTGGATTTGTCATCCATATTCCCAGGGTAGAGAGTTCTACCTTCTGGCCTACCCAGAACATTTCATGGCCATCTCTCCAGATCTCCTAACTAGCCACAGTGATCCCCAAATACCCAAATCCCTACTTGTTAAGTGAAACTCTCCTCCTGATTCCCCTCCAATTCCACCTGAATATCACCCCCCAACTCCTGCCACTATTACCTTGACCTGGGAAGTTGGGTATCCATATCTCCAATGCACTAATGATTCTAGCTTTTGCACCCACTGCTGTGTTAGTGACACAAAAGCAGACGTTTCCCTGCGATACTCTGATCCAAATCTAGTTGCCAAGTTCCCCAGGCTGCAGTGAGGTAAATGGGATTCCACTTGTCAGTGAGGAGACCATATATGGTGCCTTCTCCTGGATCAGAACATACAAGGGAAAAACAACTGCCCAATCTGGGAAGGTGGGAGTACTGTTCCTTCTGGAAAACAAAGATTGTTTGACCACTCCCATTAGAACAGGGGGAAAATATCTCCTCTAGAGACCCAACTTGGCAGCAGAGGATAAACATCGCACCCCCTAGGGCCTCTGTTTGTATCCCCCCCAGGCTCATTTTGTTTGTGGCCATGAGTGGGAAGAATTCACACCCCATAACCACTCCTGACTCCCCAGGAAGCCACCTGTTCTTTTAGAATTAGCTTTCTGTATATAAAAAGCTTGGAATAGGCTGGGTGTGGTGGCTCACACTTGTCATCCGAGCACTTTACGAGGCCAAGGCAGATGGACCACTTGAGGTCAGGAGTTAGAGACTAGACTGGCCAACATGGTGAAACCCCATCTACTAAAAATACAAAAATTACCCGGGCTTGCTGCAAGTACCTGTAATCCCAGCTACTTGGGAGGCTGAGCAGGTGAATCGCTTGAACCTGGGAGGCGGAGGTTGCAGTGAGCAGAGATCACACCATTGCACTCCAGCCTGGGCAACAGAGTAAGACTCTGCCTCAAAAAAAGAATGAAACTTGGAACAGAGATGAACGTATGTTGGCCACCCTTGCCCCTCCAGGGGTCATGGTCTTTAACCTCATAAGACCCAGGAACGCCAGAAGTAAGTGAGCAATTGGATTAATTCAGTTGTAAGGAATGTGGACAGCAATAGGACTAGCAGCGCCCTAGCATGGCTTTGCTTATCTACTCACCCCTAGTCAACCCTAAAGAACGTGAACCTTAAAGAACCCTAAAGAACTTGACTCCAACCCTAGAATCTTTAGCCACCAATAGAGGTCAGGCATTAAAGGGGATTCAAGAGTCCCTAGACTCTTTGGCAAATGTAGTTCTCAATAACAGACTAGCACTGGATTATTTACTAGCTGAACAAGGTAGAGTCTGCGCAGTTACTACTGAAACCTGTTGCACATACATCAACAACTCTGGACAGTTGAAGTTAACATTCAAAAGATCTGTGAGCAAGCTACCTGGTTACGTAGCTATAACCAGGGCATTAATCCCAACTGTATCTGGCCAACTATCAAAAGTGCCTTCCCAAGTTTCACCTGGCTTTTACCTCTCCTAGGACCTTTGATAGCTGTCTTGTTATTACTAATCTTTGGCCCTTACTTGTTTAACCTCTTAGTAAAGTTTGTTTTCTATTACAACAGTTCCAGGTAAAGACAATCCTGGCACAAGGCTTCCAACTCGACCTGCCTACTCACCTGGAGAATGAAAGTGTCCTGCCTCTGGGCCCCTTAGATCAGGTATCCAGAGATTTCTACTTCTCCAGGGCTAGACAGGGCCTGCATCCATAAACTCAGCATGAAACGGTTACAGGAGGTAGACCTCCAACCTTCTGTAGTCCCTTTAAGATTAAAGGGGAGTATCTAATCTCTGAGGGGGGAATGAGATAGGAGGCAGGACTCACTTCTGGAGGTGAGACTTAGACTCTGGACTAGATTGAGGACTAGCTAAAACAGAGAAGAGGCAAAATCACCTCTCCCTAAGACATACCCACCAGTGCCATGTCAGTTTACCATTGCTAGGGAAACACCCTGTAGTTACCACCTCTTTCCTTGGCAATGACCTGACAACCTGAAAGTTATCACCTTTTTTCTAGAAATTTCTGTATAATCTGCCCCTTAATTTGCATGTAATTAAAAATGGGTGTAGGCTGGGTGCAGTGGCTCATGCCTGTAATTCCCGCACTTTGGGAGGTCCAGGTGGGTGGATCACCTGAGGTCAGGAGTTTGAGACCAGCCTGGCTAACATGGTGAAATGCCATCTCTACCCAAAATACAAAAATTAGCCAGGTGTTGTGGTGGGTGCCTGTAATCCCAGCTACTTTGGAGGCTGAGGCAGGGGAATCAGTTGAACCTGGGAGGCAGAGGTTGCAGTGAGCTGAGATCACACCACAGTACTCTAGCCTGGGTGACAGAGCAAGACTGTCTCAAAAAAAAAAAAAAAAAAAAAAAAAGTGGGTATAAATGTAACTGTAGAACTGCCCTGAGCTGCTACTCTGTATACACTGCTCTGCAGGAGCTGTCATAGAGGTGTACCGCCACACTGCCACCTCAATAAAGCTGTTTTCTTCTACCACTGACTTGCTCTTGAATTCTTTCCTGAGTGAAGCCAAGGACCTTCCTGGGCTAAGCCCCAATTTGGGGTTTGCCCGCACTGTGTCACCAACACCCATTGTCTCAAGAAGTTCCACGTGCTTTCCAAGCAGTTGATGCTGTCAGTCATTCTTCCCCCAAGAGAAATGATCAAAATTGTAATTGAATGTATTTTTTACTCTAAAACTGAATTTAGATAACTTATTTTTATTTTATTAAGATCAAATATACAAGTAGTCAGGCAGCTCTTATTTTATATTATGCCTATATCTATATCTATCTACACAAACCCCTCAAATTTAAAAATCAGAGCATTATTTCTCAGTCCTTTAAAAATCATATTGCTGAGTGCCATGGCTCATGCTGTAGTTCCAACACTTTGGGAGGCCAAGGAGGGACGATGGTTTGAAGCCAGGAGTTCCAGATCAGCCTGGGGAACAAAACAAGACCCTATCTTTATTAAAAAAAAAAAAAAAAAAAGATAAATTTAAAAAGAAGCCGTGTGTAGTGTTGCATGCCTATAGTCCCAGCTACTCAGGAGGCTGAGGTGATACGAGGATGCCAGGAGTTTGAGGCTGCAGTGGTCCCTGATCACGCCACTGTACTCCAGCCTGAGTGACACAGCAAAAACCTATCTCACAAAAAAAAAAAAAAAAAAAAAAAATCATATATCTCCGTGTCAAGGACGGGAAAAAATGAGGACCCTCCTACATTGCTGGTGAGAATGTGAACTGATACAGCTACTTTGGAAAACTTTGGCAATGTTTACTAAAGCTAAACATGCGTACACTCTATGACCAACAATTCTATCCCTGGCTATATACTCGACAGAAATGAGTGCTTCTGTCTACCAGAAGGCAAGTACAAGTACGAGAATGTTCATAGTAGCTTTATTCATGACCGCTTACACTGGAAAAACCCAATGTCCATCAACAGAAGAATGGGTGGGTACATTGTGTTGTACTCATCCAGTGGAATATTACGTGGCAATAAGAAAGAACAAAGTACTGATAATAAAACAACATGGGTGAACCCTGCATAATTTTGATTGAAAGAAAAAAAAGAAGTCTGATACAAAAGAATACACACGGTATGACTGCAATTTTATGAAGTTTGAAAACTGGTGCAGCTAACCTATAGTGGTAAGAGGCCAGACCGGGCTACCCAAGGGAGTGGTATTAACTTGCAGGGGACGGGAGAGTCCTCAGAAGTGCTGGAATTGCTCTACTCTTGATCTGGGTTGTGAGTACATGGGGGGATATGTATTTAAAGTTGATTTGTACGTATTACTGTATCTGAATTATACCCCAGTAAAATGGAAAAAAAATATAGATGCCAATCATTAAGTGTTGTTACTAAGTCAGGTCTTTATGTCAGATGCAGCCTAAGTTTCTCCTATATTTGACATTTCTCATAGGCATATTGTAAGAAAGGAAAGAACCAAGCTGTTTCTTCTATGATATTGGGAGTACTCTTCAGCTGGGCTGCTCCAGAAATCATTAATCATTAGATTTGGGCAGCTGCCATCTGATTTCTTTTTTTAAAATAATCAGTTGGATATATTCTGACTCTGCTTATGGGATTTAGACACAGCTTGAGAATAATAACACTCTGCTTTTTATGGGCAATTTTATTTTCTTCAACCACAGATTCAGAAAGAATGAGTTTGTATAGTATGTCAAAATCTATGAGCAAAAAGACCGTGAGGGCCATACCTGTAGTTAATAAAAGTTAGGTTTATTTGGCTTGCTGCAGCGGGAAGAATGCATGAATCTTGGGACCATCTTAGTAAGGGAGACTTGAGTTTGTGCTTGTGTTGGATGCCTCCGAGAAGGGGTTAGGGAAGCCAGAGCCAACTCTGGATTGAATGCTGTTAGGATGCAGGGAGGATTGATGCAATTCACAAGGTTAGCAGGGCCACAGGGCAGCAGGGCAGTGCTGGGCCACAGCAGAGTGGAAAGTGGACCAAAAGAGGCACATGGAGAATACCTAGCACAACTGCCTATGTACCCTCCCTAAACTAACTGCGAGAGGAAACACTTCAGCCAAATGAAAAAATGAATGAGATAAGTTAGCTGGAAGACAAGGAAGGCATAATATGTTAAACATGGCAACAAGCGAAAAACCAGTAAAATTTATTGTTATGTATTTGTAATTATTGATATTGTTACTGTGGAAAGATTATTGACTAAATTCTCATAAAAAGATATATGCTTATTATAATAATTAATACAGAAAGTACTGAAAAAGCTTTTTCAATTGCCCCAAACGCCACTACCCCCTAACAATTATCTTCAACATTTGTCGGTTATCATTCTAGACACTTTCTATGCAAATCCATAGAGAAGCCTAGATATAAATAATTTTATGATGTAGACTGCGAAGAATTTCATATTAGGGATGCACTAAAGCTTAGTTGTGGACTTAGTATTTGGCTCACATCTGCTATTCAACTATGACTTTGGCTCTAGCCCTTACAAGGTTAAATAGCCAAATACCTTCTTCAGTATCACTTGTGACATCCCTGAACCTGTGTGTGATCCATGATCATGACTGTGTTGATTTCTGTCATATCTTATCAACATAACAATATCAGTAAATGAACCACGCCATGTTATGTGAATTTATTGTTAATATCTGAATATTCACTTTCACATAGAGGTAACCATTCAAGATACAGAATCATGAAAATGTCCTTGGCTTTATATGCCAAAATTCTATTAGTCATTTGAGGTATACATGTGTATTTAATATTTCATGAGTAAAGTGCTATAATAATTAATGATTATTTGAAAGCTGCTAATTGTGTACACAAAAACAATGACTAAGAACTTTCAAAAAATATGGAAATAGATTGAAAGTTAATGCAATTTTAATGAGAAAGTGTGCTAACTAGGTATCTTTAGAAGAACTTTATATTGTTTTAAGGTCAAGAGATGTTTATAGGCCAGGTACAGTGACTCACGCCTGTAATCCCAGCACTTTGGGAGGCTGAGGCAGGTGGATCACGAGGTCAGGAGTTCGAGACCAGCTTGGCCAACATGATGAAACCCCATCTCCACTAAAAATACAAAAAATTAGTGTGTGGTGGCGTGCACCTGTAGTCCCAGCTACTTGGGAAGCTGAGGCAGGAGAATCACTTGAACCTGGGAGGCAGAGGTTGCCGTGAGCCGAGATCACGCCACTGCACTCCAGCCTGGGCGACAGAGTGAGACTCTGTCTAAAAAAAAAAAGAGAGAGATGTTTATAACAACTTAAGTAACACAAGCCAGAATACTAGTGATTATATTATATCATAAAATTATTGGCATAATAGTATTCATAATATGAATAAAAATAATCTTTTTTTTTTTTTTTTCAGGCTGAGTCTCTGTCTGTCACCCAGGCTGAAGTGCAGTGGTGCGACGTAGGCTTATTGCAACCTCCGCCTCCGCCTCCCAGGTTCAAGCGATTCTCATGCCTCAGCCTCCCAAGTAGCCGGGATTGCAGTTGAGCACCACCACGCCTGGCTGATTTTTGTATTTTTAGTACAGACGGGGTTTCACTATGTTGCCCAGGCTGGTCTCAAACTTGTGGCCTCAAGTGATCCCCTGCCTTGGCCTCCCAAAGTGCTGTGATTATAGTCATGAACCACTGTGCCCAGCCTAAAATAATCCTTAATAGCTCTATCACTTCTGTTTATTTATTATACATTAGAAGAAATAAAAATACATGCCACAAGCAAAGAAGATATTTATAACATGTGTATAATCAACAACTGTATCTAGTATGTGCAGATAACGCCTATAAAATAGTAAGAAATATAGAAGTAATTCAATAGAAAAATTTGCAAGTTTCCTTCAGAAAAGGAAACATGAATGGGCAGTAAATGGATGGAAAATACTCAACTTTGTTAATAATCAGGGAAACTTAAGTCTAGAATAAGATACCATTTACATCCATTCAATTGGCAAAAACTAAGAAGTATGGGCTGGGCACTGTGGCTCACACCTATAATCCCAGCACTTTGGGAGGCCAAGGTGGGAAAATCACTTGAACTCAGGAGTTCCAGGCCAGCCTGGGCAATACAGTAAGAGCCCCGTCTCTACAAAAAAAAAAATTTTTAATAGCTAGGCATAGTGGCATGCACCTGTGTTCTCAGCTACTTGGGAGGCTGAGGTGGGAGGATTGCTTGATCTGGGAGGTCAAGGCTGCAGTGAGCCAAGATCGCACCACTCTACACCAGCCTGGACAACAGAGTGAGACCTTTCTCCAAACAAACAAACAGACAAACAAATACCCTCCCCTGCAAAAAACGAAAAATTAAGGGGTATGATAATACTTTTTTTTTTAAGAGATGGGGTCTTGATATGTTGCCCAGGCTGGTCTTGAACTCCTGGGCTCAAGCAATCCTCCCACCTTAGCCTCCCAGAGTACTGGGATTTCAGGCAAGAGCCATCATGCCTGGCCAACTTTCTAAAGAGAATATTGGTCAGTGATATCTCTTATACATTAATGGTTGGTGTCTATCTGGAAAAACAATTTGTCATTATCTTGTGTTATTGAACATACCCACATATTCGACTCTTGGATATATACCCAGGAGAAATTCTTGCACAGGTATATCAGAAGACATCTGACAGGAGTGTAGCCGGTAGCACTATATGTAAGAGCACAAATCAAAGAACCATTCAAGTGCCTGTCGACTACAGACTGGATAGACTGTGGTGTGCTCACACATGGAATGTGACACAGCAGTAAAAATGAATGATATTCCTTTCCATGCCACAACATGGATAATCTTAGTAACATAATTTTGAGCAATAAAGCAAATCTTGAAGATCACTCTTCTTATAAAGATCAAAACCAAGCAAAACAAAACCATATTTCATGTAGGCATCTACATAGACGACATTCTCAAATAGTGGTTACCTCTTGGGGAGGCATGGATAGAACTAAGTGATCGATAACATTTAACTCTTGGGATGAGTGTTGAGCTCATTTTTTATTATATTATTTTTTAAAACAAACAATATATAATGTCTAATCCTCTAATGCTATGAGAATCTTCATTGCCTTCAAACTCAGCTGGGTCAAGAAGTCCCCTTCTAGGTCAGACTCCCACTCCCTTGAGTGATGGTTGCTGCAACCATTTCTGGTGTGAATCATTTTACTGGTCAAGGTTCTTGGTTGCAGACAACAGAACCTGCAATACTCTGTTTAAACAGAAAGGGATGTATCACAAGGTATTAGTTACTAGATAAAGCTGAATTTTGAGACAATGTGTTGTGGTTGATGTGGCATCTTGGGTGATACTGGTTATGAGTAATATAAGGAAGGCTCTTAGGTCAGGTTCCCGAGAACAGAGTCTGATATGAATATTCTTGTTTCAGTGATTTATGAGAGCAGTCCTATCAGAAGAAGAGGTGGGAGAGAAGCAGGATGGAACAGAGGAAGAAAACTAAGCAAGTGTGTGGATACTGTCTTCAGCTTGGACCCACAGGGAGCATTGGAGCATAAATTATACCACAGAGTTTGTTTCCGTTTGAGGCTGGTGGGATGGCCCTTTGTACCCCAGAGAGGGTGCAGAACTTCCTGAAGGAGTTGACTCCATTTGGTTGAGAACATGTAATTATTTAGAGAAGGAGCGGCTAACTCTCACAGCGACTGAGGCAGGGTGCACTGACCAGGGCAGAGCACCAACGGTGAACCAATGCCACCCAGACCTCATGGGGGAAGGGTGGGGATAACCTGGGGCCAGATCAGAATTGGGTGGAGGTGGGACACAGCAGGACAGGAGGAGCAGAACCGAGAGGGTCTGTGTTTCCTGTGTACCCTGGAAGCACAAGTCTGAGTTCTCTGAGCCTCAGGCAGCACTGACCTTTCTTCCCCATCTGGACATGAGAAGGACAGGCCAAGCCCTTTCCTCAGCACTTTTTTTTTTCTTTTTGAGTTGGAGTCTTGCTCTGTCACCCAGGCTGGAGTGCAGTGGTGTGATCTCGGCTTGCTGCAACCTCTGCCCCCTGGGTTCAAGTGATTCTTCTGCCTCAGCCTCCTGAGAAGCTAGGTTTACAGGTGCATGTCGCCACACCTGGGTAATTTTTGTATTTTTGGCAGAGATGGGGTCTCACCATGTTGTTTAGGCTGTCTCAAACTCCCGACCTCAAGTGATCTGCCCACTTCTCAAAGTACTGGGATTATAGGCATGAGCCACTGCGCCCAGCCCCTTTCTTCAGCGTCTCATTCCAGGTTCTGAGTCCTGAGCACGTCACCTTGAGGTGCTCTTTACGGGAAAAATCTCACTGCAGTGAGGACGTTCCAGCCAGGAATAGGGTGAATGGGGGAGCTCCTGAGGCAGGGCCCTCCAGTTACTATGTAGCCCCTGCCACCTCCCTGTTCCTGGGGCAAAGAGAACCAAACTTCTCTGTCAGCAGCCTCCTCCCTTCCCCTCCCCTTCGGCCTTGGCCTTGACCTCAAGCTAACGTGGTATCTGATTCATTAGGTGGTGGGCAGTTTTTCCCAAGCTGCCTGCCTCAGTCTGGACTGGAACATTCTGGCCTCACAGGCGGGCTGGCCCCTGCCCTCACAGGAAGCTTTAACCCTTGCTCTGCCAGCATGATTCTCCAGGGCCACAATCTGGGGTTATGTTTTCTCCAGAGTGGCACCGAACGGGAGCTTGTGGAGAGTTTAGACACTCAACACCCTTCCTCATTCTCCCCCAAGCCATGCAGAAAATGCCTAATCTGAGTAAAAATAATTTGTCCCCTGGCCCATCCCCTGTTGTAACACAATTGCGACCCTGTGCCCTTTTACATAGACTTTCTGGGGTCACCACTAGCCAAGTGGCCTTAGAATCCTTACCTCTGCTTTCTGCCTTTATTCCCCTCCCACAGCCACATGCCTCCTCTCAGGGGTCAGGGCTTGTCTCCCCCTCCCCTCACAGAAATGTGTATTTTAATGATCACTCATGCGGGCAAGTAAAAGTCTGCAAACTGAGGCAGGTCTGGGTGGGAGACATTTCAGGACAGGGTCTTCCAGTCCTCACGTCCTATCAGGAGATGGATAGGAGACCTCCTGGCGGGATGGGGGTGGGGGATCAGCATGGGAGAAGGGCTTTCCTGGGCAGGAGGCCTTGGCCAGAGGGGTCCACCCCGGTCTAGCTGGCTTTCCTTCTCTCCTTACGTGTTAGTCTGTTCTCGCTTTGCTATGAAGAAATACCTGAGGCTGGGTAACTAATAAAGAAAAGAGGTTTATTTTGGCTCATGGTTCTGCAGGCTGTACAGGAAGCATCTGCCTCGGGGGAGGCCTCAGGGAGCTTACAATTGCGGTGGAAGGCGAAGGGGAGTCAGTGTGTCACATGGCGAGAGAGAGAGAAGATAGGAGGCGCCACGCTCTTTTAAACAAGCAGATCTCTCGTAACTCAGTGAGAAATCACTCATTATTACAAGGACAGCACGAAGCCATTCATGAGGGATCCACCCCCGAGATCCAAACACCTCCCACTAGGCCCCACCTCCTACACTGGGGATCGCATTTCAACATGAGATTTGGAGGGGACAAACATCCACACCATATCACCCTAGTCCTCACCTTGGGGGATGCTGAGGGAAAGACGGAGTCTATTTTTTACCCCTTGCTGCTTTGGTGGGAAAGCACCCTGTGACCTGGGTCAGGATGCCATGTTCCAGTCCAAAAGGTGCCAACTTCCTCTTTCTCCTTTCCCTGCTCTTGTCCAGCCTTAGCATCCGCTCCTGCCCCAGCCTCGGCAATGCCTGTCTCTGTGGCTGCTATGCTCAGTGGGTGTCTTTTGCCTCCAGTAGCCTATGGGTAGGGGAGGGCAGAATCTGGACGCCACACCCTCAGCCCATCCCTTCTGTGCTCTGCAAAGTGGGGTGGGGGGGGCACCTTTGACCCTCTGGTTTTATTGATTCATCCTTCTTTCTTGCATTTTAGTCTCTAAGTCAATTAGTTCTTGTCTGTAGCCTATAAACATGATAAAGCCTCCATTATTTAAAAAACTCCCCAAATCTCCCTCTACCAAACTTCCTTTTTAATTTTTTAAGTGATTTTTTGTTTGTATGCATTTATGGGGCGCAAGTGTAATTTTGTTACGTTGATATTTTATATAGTGGTGAAGTCAGGGCTTGTGGTGGATCCATCACTGGAGTAACATACATTGAACCCATTCAGTGATTTCTCGTCATCCATCCCCCTCCACCCTCTCGCTCTTCCGAATTTCCACTGTCATTCCACACTCTACTTCCATGTGTACACATTGTTTAGCTCCCACTGATAAGAGAGAACACATGGTATTTGTTTTTCTGTGTCTGAGGTATTTCACTTAGGATAATGGCCTCCAGTTCCACCCATGTTGGAGTAAAAGACATGATTTCCTTCTTTTTTATGGCTGAAAAACCATCCTACCCCATTTTCTCACCTCTCCCTTTTCCCTCGACTTTTATTTATTTATTTTTTTTTGAGACAGAGTCTTGCTCTGTTGCCCAGGCTGGAGTCCAGGGGCATGATCACAGCTTTCTGCAGCTTTGAACTTCTGGGCTCCAGTGAGCCTCCTACCTCTCTTGTCTTTATCAGAGCCAAACACTACAGGATTACCAAATAGACAAACAAAGCACATGCTTGAGGCACCAACAAAGAAGGACAACACAGCAAATAAGCATTATTGAACAGGGGAAGGACAGTTATTTTCAATACAAGTGTGCAAGTAAGTTAACTGCAATTAAAATAATTTAGAAAGTTTATTTTAATTTTAACATTTATATATTTTTATGTTATTTTGAAAATAAAAAAACTCATTTTGTATTACTTGTAGGAGGATGGGAACCATAATCTTTTAAAGGTGTTAATTCAGCCCTGTGGTCAAACCTCTTCCTCACCTCTTACTCCTCAACCCCCTGCAGCTTCAGACACCATCATGTCCTAACTGCTCCCCCCAAGGTCACCAATGAGTGTCACTGTGATAAATCCAATGGGCGTGTTTCATGCTCAGCTGTGACCCCCTCAGCAGAAGTCAACTATATTCTCAAACAGCTCTCCTGGTTCCCTTCCACTTCTTACTCCCCTCCCTTCCTGACTTCCTCAAGGTTCTTCTTCCTAGAAACGTTCGTGTTGTTGGAGCTCTGAGCTGGGTCTTTTTTCTCCCTCTCCACAGTTCACTCCTCCTATGGTTTCAGTCACTGTCTACACTTAGGTTTCAGTCACTGCCTACACTTAGGTTTCAGTCACTGTCTACACTTAGGTTTCAGTCACTGTCTACACTTAGGTTTCAGTCACTGTCTACACTTAGGTTTCAGTCACTGTCTACACTTAGGTTACATCTAAATATCTTCCCAGCTCACCCTTGGCGCCTTAGCTCTAGGCCTTTATATCCAACCATGAACTCTTTCAGGTACTTAAATTCACTAAGTCCGAAATTGATGCCTTATCTCCCCCATGAACCCTTCCTTCTCCAGCCTTCCCTGTGTCAGTGAGAAGCATTTTCATCCACTCAGGCCCCAAGCTCAAGCCTTTCTGTCCTATGACCTCACCCACAACCAACAGTTCTGTTGGCTCTACTTCCTCAAAAGCTTGCATTTGCTCACTTCCCTCCATTTTCATGGCCACCTCCCTTGTCCTAGTCACCGTTACAATTGGCAGGTCACAACTGCCTTCTATTGGGCTTCCCCATCTCTACTTCCTCAGCCCATTTTCCATGCTGAAGCCAGTGTGGTGAAGTTTCTATGGGTCCTCATTGGCTCAGCATAAATCCAAGCTCCTAGGGTGACATTCCAGACTTCCCACATTCTGGTTCCTGACACCACCTCAGCATAGCTCTCCTCACCCTTGGCTACCTGCTCTCCGCTCCAGTAGTATTTAACTACCCGGAGCTTCCCCTCCACCCCCATCACACTGTTGCTCCCCTCTGCCACCTGGGCTGCCCTTTCCCTCCTCTTCCTCCTACTGTTTTTTTTTGGGGGGGTGCGGGGGGACAATCATGACTGGGTAAGTGATGATGGTGACTTGGACTTGGGTGGTAATGATGGGTGGTGAGAATTGGTAAGATTCTAAACATATTTTGAAGGCAGATACAACAGGACTTGTTGATGGATTTGGATGTGTGGGGAGAGAATAAAGAAAGGAAACCAGGTTTTTTTTTTGTATTTTGCCTGAGCAACTGGAAGGAAGGAGTTGCACTGAGATGGGAAGATAGTGAGAAGAGTGGGTTTGGGTGGGAAGATAAGAAGGACAGTTTTAGATGTGTTAATGGAAATGCCCCTTAGAAATCCAGTCAGGTATTAGAGTCTGGATTCAGGGGACTGATCTGAGCTGGAGCTGCACATTTGTGAGTCATCAGTGTGTAGGTGGTATTTAAAACCACAAGAGTGGGCCAGCTGCAGTGGCTCATGCCTATAATCCCAGAGCTTTGGGAGGGGTGAGAGGACCCCTTGAGGCCAGGAGTTTGAGACCAGCCTGGGCAACATAGCAAGATCCTGTCTCTACAAAAAGTAAATAAATAAATTGGCCAGCATGATGG